GTTATATTATACGCACAGCAAAAGAAAATTATGGACATTTAATCCTTGCCTCTTGGTGTTTGCTGTAGTGTGTATTAACTTAATGCACAAAATCATTTTAAGCGCGCAACACTGAGGGTCCATGGCTGCGGTTTGCTGTTGTCATCGCTTGGTGTAACGCAGGCGAAACCACGGATATTGCATAGCTGTCCGTAGCACATGCAGCACGTGCTTGCGCCAAAGAAAAGTATGCTTTGGTCTTCTGCTGTCGTTTGGCTTATATTGTAAGCATAGTCACATATACAGATAAAAAAACAAGCAAGTGACAAATAGAAAAAGAGCGAACAATTCGAAAAAAGAAAACTCGAAAAATACATAAAGAAAAACACACAAAAGAAAGACGGAAAACTCTAAAAGAAAAAAGAATAAAAAAACAACAACAAAGGCTGCTCAGCTGTGCACTTCCTTCGGCCTTTGCACCACTATTGTGAAGCTGTCTTGATTTTTTTTATCTTTTTCTTTACGGTAATCATTGTAATCATCATTAACTACGCCTACAGCAGAGCAAAGGCCACTCCCATGTTCCGCCAATCAACGCAGTCCTGTGCTTTGTGCTGCCTCGTTATAGCTTCGAACTTGTTAGTCTCAGTGCCCACCTAGCTTTCTGTCTACCTTTCGTGCGTTTGCCTTTTCTTGGAATCCAGTCAGTTACCTTTAATGACCAGCGGCTATCCTGCCTACGCGCTACGTGCCCAGCCCACGTCCATTTCTTTTTCTTGATTTTAACTATGATATCCCTAAATTATTTATTTATTTATTTATTTATTTACAAAATACTGCAGGCCCATTTAAGGGCCCCAGCAGGAGGGGCAAATATCATAACATAGCACATAGGTGTAAAACAGCAAGAACAAAAAGGTTACATCATATACAAAAGATACAAAAACATAGGTCATGATTAAATACGCTCAAGCACCTCTACAGAGCTGGTTAACGATTGAGGTAGGCAGTTCCAGTCGTTTATGGTTCGAGGAAAGAACGAGTATTTGAAAATGTTTGTTCTGGCGAAATACGGTGTTAATGAATAAGTTTGTCGATGCCGGGTTTGTCTTGTCGTAAGCGGTTTCAGATACATATCACGGTTACTGACAGCTTGTTGTTATTTAAAAGAAAAAGAAATTTGAGCCTGTGAGTTTTACGACGTTTTTCAAGTGTGGGTATACTGTTTTCTTTCATAAGGTTTGTTGGGGAATCAGTTCTTCGGTACTTGGAGTAAATAAAACGTACCGCTTTGCGTTGGATTAGTTCGAGAGCCTCAATGTTTCTTTTTGTGTATGGGTCCCAGACGATTGAGGCATATTCCAATGAGGGGCGTATAACAGACAAATAAGCTAGTTTTTTTACAGTAGAAGGAGCATGCTTTAGTGTTTAGCAGGTTAGTGTTTACCAAGACCTGGTCATCATGGGAAGTTATTTCACTAAGCAGCACACAATCATCAGCAAACAGTCTGATCTGAATCGGCGAAGAAACAGTATCAACAATGTCAATAATATAAATTAAAAATAATAAAGGCTCTAGTACACTCCCTTGGGGAACCCCAGAAGTAACAGGGAGCGGGTCATAGCAATCACCGGCAATGCTTACAAACTGAACGCGGTCAGACAAATAGGAAGAAATCCAGGAAATTATAAATTCTGGAAGGCCAATCGATTTCAGTTTTTGAATAAGCTTATCATGAGGAACAAGATCGAATGCCTTCGTGAAATCCAAGAAGATGACATCAACGTGACCTGCCTTATCTAAAATTCGTGAAAAACTGTGCACAACAGAAATTAACTGAGTTTCTGTGGAAAACCCTTTCCTGAAACCATGCTAACATCCGAGAGTATGTTATTTTCATTAAGAAACGTTATAATAAATTTAGCTATGATATGTTCAAGCACTTTGCAAGACGAAGACGTTATAGAAATTGGACGATAGTTTGACACCGAATCTTTATCACCCTTTTTGTGCGCTGGAGCAATGCGTCCCACTTTCCAGTCACGAGGCAAGCGGCCGGAATGGATAGAAGCGCGGAAAGTTATTATAAGGAATTCCGATAGCATCTCGGCATATCGTCGTAAAAAAGTGTTGGGAATTTGGTCAGGACCGGTTGAAGTTTTAGTTTTCAAATTCAGGAGCAACAAAACAATACCGGGTAAAGATAAAATGTCTGGAACGTCGTCATTATTTCGAGAAAATTGGTGCAGTGGCTCGTAAGAGGCAGAAAAAAACGTTATGGAAGTACAAATTGATATGATTGGCAATAGTTTTCTTGTCGACAATAGTTTCTCCTTCATGTGTGATTCGTTCAACACAATTGGTCTTTTTGGTCAAAAAGTTCCAAACTTTTTTGTGGGGCAGACGTAATAAAGTTGGGTAGAGTGTCCTGAAAATATATAAACTTTGCTATCCTCACAGCCTCGTTCAGTGTGTTCTGGGCAGAAAGAGTTATATTGCGTGGAGCACCCTTGCGTTTAAGCCGCTTTAGTTTCCTTTTCATGTGCAAGACATCTCGCGTGATCCAAGGATTTGATTTGCGCGTTTTTTTTTACTTTGCTAGGAATAAAATTATCTAGACAATGCAGGCATATTTCTTTGAATTTGCTCCACAATACTTCAGGGTCAGTTCCTTGAAAGCTGCTGAGGGAAAGATCGAGGTGGTCCAGAACACTCTCGTCATTGGCACGCGAAAAGTCTTTCTCAGTAATTGATTTGGCATGGCGCGTAGCGCAAACAGCCTGCATGGGACAAGAAAAATAAACCATGTAGTGATCAGAAAGGCCAGGGTCGACCGATACGGAAAAAAGTTCAATCGATCTTGTTATAAAAACCAGGTCAAGCAAGGATGCACATGCGCCATGCACCCGTGTAGGTTGGATAACAATTTGATGCATGTTTTGGCTTATCATAATATCAAAGAAGTACGATGCATGCTCATAGTTTTTTGTGTTCAGAAAAGGAGAGCTCCTATCTATTCCTGGCAAGTTGAAATCGCCTGTTAGTATTGCCTTATCATGCCTGCATGTGTTCATGTAATCGTAAAGTGACGGAAAGAAATCGGGCGGTGAATCGGGTGCGCAATAAACTGCAAGAATGGTGAATGATCGTCCCCAAAAAGAAATTTTTATAATGACACTTTCGTGGTCTTGAATCTGATGTAATATAAAAGATTTTATGTCGTGTCTGACAAGGATAGCAACACCGTTTCCTCTAGAAGCTCTATCTCGTCGATATGCCCGATATGACGGCGGAAATACGTCCTCATCGCGAATTTCAGGCCGCAACCAAGTCTCGGTTAGAACAACCACATGTGGATTGTAGCCCAAAATCAGCGGTTTTAATATCTGCGCCTTGTTGACAATACTACGAGCGTTCAAGTTCAAAATGCGTAGTTCTCTATCAACAGGATTCACGAGTCAGGGACTGGGTGGGCGGATTTTTTGGCTGGTTATTTTAACCCTCGCGTTCTTTGCATCGTACCATTTGTACGTATCTCGGCCTACATGAATTTTGTCGTAATTGAGGGTTTCCTTCTTTCCCTGACCTTTTTCAAACTTTGCGCTCTCCCACAAAAGCTTTCTTTTCCTGAGAGTCTCTTTCGAATAGTCGTCTTGTATTGATACGTCAAAACCTTTAAGTTTGTGTGCGTTTTTTAAGATTTTTTTTTTCTCGTTGTAGTCCTGAAAGAACACGATAACTGGACGTTGGCTGCCCGGCTTTCCAATTCTATGAATTCGACCGACAGAACGACATGGTACTTGAAGTTTATTGGCAAAAAGATCGGTTAAAACGTCCCTCCTCAATGTTTCGGTGGTTTCCGAGGGATTTTCCTTGATGCCAAAAACAATAAGATTTGAACGCCTACTTCTGTCTTCCAAGTCAGTATTTTTTTCTTGAAGAAAGTCAACCTTTCGTTCAACATTATCCACCTTGTCTACCCTTTTTTCTAGTTGATTGATTCCCACAGACAAGTCCGTAAGTAATCTCTCGTTTGTTCCCAGACCCACTTCACGTTAGATGACACTATGTAGATAAAAACTGCGTTTCTCCTGACATTCAATCCTTAATTGCGCAATTCCTAGTGTCAGTTATTGTGCTTTCATCGTCGGCCTGAAGTCAGCTGCTTCTTGTATGATGACACTAAGCACAATTATTAAAACGGCGTACGATTCCGTTGTGGTTCTTTCTTTAAACCTTTTCATTTAGCGTATGCAACACATATATATCAATAGAACCCGCGGGGAAATAACTGTTTCCATTGGCCTACTATCTTCAATGAGTGTTGTTTGGCCTTGCTGACAAGTGCAGCAAATTTATTCTTCATGGCGTGTAAAGGTATACGCTTTTAAAATTCGCTTGTTTCCCGCAAAACGGGCGTACCCGACATGTATACACCAAGTGAACAAGGCATCCAGTATCTATACGTGCTGTCCTCTCCCTAACGAAATGCCTCGCGCCTGTGGTCCTAATTATTATACTCGACTGACAACACACGCATTGAAAGGGGTCGCTCGGGGACAGCGTGATGACGGAAGCCAATAGCACTCTCTCTCTCAGCGTCGGTGACCTTTGCTTAATGGTCCAAACAATTACCAAGCTGGTAGATTGCCCGCCAACGGAGAAAAGGGTGTCGCCTACCAACCAGCGCCGCGCGCTCCCGACAGACCTTCGCTCCTGTTTGCCCGCGCGGCATTTCCCGTGTAAGGTACACGGAGCGAGAAAGAAAAAGCGGTGCCTTTCCGCGTAGCCGACCAACCGCGTTTTCCCAATGACCCACATGCGACATCAGCAGGCGTCGCACGATTGTTGGTAACCAAGGGATACGCGTGTGCGCCCGAAGAGAGCGAGAGAGAGAAGTGCGTACAGGCGCCTCGGGAGAGGGGACACGTGACGGGAAGGCGAGGGCGTTGTTTCAGCGCGGTACGCTTCGTCGCCGGTCGCGTCGCGTTGAGTGTCCTGTCACAGCGCGCTCGTGCGCCGTCCCGGGACGACGACGCCATGTCGCGCGAAGTGGAGCTGGAACGGCCCGTCCGGGTCGAGCAGCAGCGACGAGAACGCGTGCTGGAGAAACCTGCAGCGCCGTCCACCGCTGCCCGGGCAGGTGACGGCGAGCTGGTGCTGGAGAAAGAGGAGCAGTGCGTCTGTCAGATCTGCACATGCGGGTGAGTTGATCGGCGGCGCTGCACGTGAAGCGGGCAGTTGCCCTCCATTAGTGCGCCGCATGATTGGACCATGTGCCGGCGCTTCGCGATGAACCGCTCCCTCAAAATGGCAAATTGTGCGTCCGGGAGAGTTGCTTGTTGGGCAAGTTGGTACGTACTTGGTAAACAAACTACAAAAGCCACAAAACGCTCGAAATCTGAAAAAAAAAAGCGGAGCAGTAAATTTTTTATTTTATTCATTTTTATTTTATTCATTTATTTAGGCATTTTTCACCAATATGACCACGAAGGGGGCAAAAAGAGAGAGCGTCTTTTGACTTGGTCCACTCTTCGTGAGGCACCTCGGGCAGGTACAGCAAAGCAGTACATAGAAATATTCAAGATTATACATACAAATTATAAAAAAAACGATGAACACTACAACAAACGGGAAAATATCGGTTAAGTATTCAAACAAAGCTGTTCCTTAGCAATAAATACAAAGACGTTATCAGCACTATTAACATATATTGAATGCATACAATTTGTGTGTAATATATGAAAACCATGATAAAAACAATGATTACAACTAATATATTTCATACATTACCAATCTTCTGCACAGGCACCCTATAAGTGGGTTTGCATTATTACATTCGCGATTCGATTCTTAAATTCTTTTAATGTTTTTAGTCTTCCTAGCGTATTCTATTACTTCGGGAATCTTGTTGCACAGTAAAACAATTTGATGATCAATTGACCGTATGCCATAGTTAGTCCGACACATCGGCCCCACCAACGGAACAGTACGTAGATTGTATGTAAGATCCTGCTTAAGTATATATGTATCAGAAAAACTCTGAAAGTTATTCGTATTTTTATTATAAATTAACATGGCTAGTTGTACCTTATAGCACTCTGAGAATGGTATAACATTTTACACGCGAAAAAGAGATGTTTTGGGGCACAGAGGTAGTGAGCAGACGTAGTGCACGTTTTTGGAGAATAATACATTGACTGTTTGTTTTGTTACACCTGCCCCAGACTAGAATACAATACATGACTTGCGAGTGGATAAAAGAAAAGTACAGCTGCCTTTTCACTCTCCCTGGAAGTAGATGCTGTTTTTTTTTCGATTTTGACGTTTTGTGGCTTTTGTAGTTTATTAGGCATGTTATGCACTGAACGTGTTGCGCATAGAAACCGCATGCCTGGGCTTGATATGCTTTTCATCGGTAGACCGCCGCCATTGTTAACAACGTTTTTGCTTCCGCATACATGAATAATTAATACTACTTTATTCGTGAGTTCTGCTGCGGTGCAAATGAAGGAAATGCTCGTAAGAACACTTGGGAACACCAAGTTCACGTCAATGAAAGGTTTGTGCATCACGGCTACATGCTTTTTTCTAGGATATCTGGGATTCTTTCTTGGGTATCTGGCGTACCCAGCTCGCTTCATATTACAACCGATTCACTTACATTCCTGAGAATGTCACTTTGTCTTGCGATCTTCTTTTATTCCGCAATTAGACATAAAGTACAGTTATTTATTTATTTGTTTGTTTGTTTGGTTTGAGTACATAGAGAACACGAAGACAGCGGAAATAGGGAGGGGACAGGCTGACAACTGCCACCTATAAGGGCACAACGCCTGCCTGCTTCTTCGAGAAGGGCAAACATAGAGGAAAAAAGAGAAGAAAAAAGGGCTGAGAAGAGGAAAGTAAAAACTAGGAGAAAAACACATATCTGCATGTATAAGAAAAGAAAGCATCCCTGCTTCGTGGATTGCTGTAAAATGTGCATCCCCTGACGTATAGCACATTGCGGCTGTATGATCGTGATGTTTCCTGAGGCTAAACGTTCAAAACCTGCTATACCATGTCGTTCCGCTCAGGTGGATACGTCCAGGCGAGGTCTTTTCCAAACATTCAGGATTGGAGTCCTTAACATTATTACGGTTCTGAAAGCGGCTACACCTTGCCGATTTAGTCGATTTGCGAACAGGCGTTTCGCAAATCATATGCATTTGCATATGCAGGGCATATGCATTTGAGAATGTTGTGCTCTATAGCATGTGCGCGTGCGTTTTCACTGTATTTGATCGCTTCGCACCCGCGTTATTGGTGCTTCACACGCTAGCTAATCGTGCCACACTATACGTGTGGTGTATACACGTACAAGCAGTCGGGTCACCAGTACATAATTCAGGTATAGTGGGTAATGGCGCTTCCTGCCGACGTTACGCAGTGTATCTTCACTCTCTTTCGACATTTGTGTTGTATAAGTGCCCTACTTTGCATCGCATGTCACTTGGATTTCCGCAACATGCCATCTTTATGGCGTGAGGAGCGATAGCAGTACGAACGTTTTCGGAGTTGTCCGCAATTGAGGTATGATATATTCATTTTCTTACGTATGCGCTGCGTTTTCGCAAATGTGGCCTGATGTCATTTTTATAGACTAGTTTCGAGATACAAGCAAACATTTTAATTGACGAAGCAGGTTTGAAGAATGCCGTGTGGTTTTGCATAGAATTATCTATAGCCCCATATAGGATAATAATAAATTCATCTTTTTTATACTTCAATTTGTTTACAAACTTTTTGCTTGAGTATTGTATAAATATCGTGTTCATGTTAGGATCTCTGATTAAACATCTACCACATGGTGGAATTTTTTGGAACCACCTTATATGGTTTTTATGCGGAATACTGCCAGTAATATTAGGAATAGTTTAATTAAGTGCACAAGGACCGATTTCTTTAATACCGTGTCTTCCAAGTGACACCGAGGCAAAAAAGTTTGCTCGTTTTTTTAATTACTTTGTCACAAAGGAAATCTCAAACTGGCCGTAAAGCCTTTCAATTTCATTTGACTCTTGGCTCTTTGTGCAAGGCTGACCAGAATATTTTTTTTAATCCACATGCAGAAACCGCAAAGAAAATGTTGTTTGAGAGTACATGTTTCGTTATACACACGTGAAGGTATATAAGGCATCTGGGAATGTTTTCATAAGTTATAGGCGAAGCTTGATTTATACGAAATCCCCCGGATACAAATATCAACATTCACAATCTGCGATCACGTAGCAACAGCGTTAGTTTTAAAAGACCACGTAATTCAATTCAAGGGCTCTGCAAGTGGTTACCGGGACCTGATTCCGGGGCGCTTATATAGTTTTAAGAGACTGCGGTCTGTGGGTCATGAACTTTTTTTGGAGTAGTGGGTTTACTGAAGAAAAACCAGCTTCAATAGTAATATGATAAATAATAAACGAATGTCGCAGAGGCCGGAAGGAGTTACCTATTTTAGTCAACTGCTATTCGCTTGCACCCTTGCCGATGGTTTGAACAACGCACCGGATACGTTATTAATGAAACTAAGTGTTATAGTGAATCATCTATGAAACGCAAGAAACATACTCTGGTGACAAGAGTTCTTATAGATTTTCTAGCTTGTTTTCCAACTCTCTGCTAAATTTATTCTGTTCCATACGTGTTTTATTAATCGCGAGGTACACTTACTCCTCCTTACGTCGTCTGATCGATTGACTGATGCCAAGATTGAACTGACAAAACTTGTCCTGAGCTTGATTAACGTGAATGCATCATTCGAGTAGTGGTTCTGGAGCTAGGCTGCGGTCCCGAAAAGCGCGGGTTACATCTCTGCCGTGGCAGTCCCATTTTTATGGAAGCGAAATGCTAGATACCTGCATGCCGTTGGATGTCAGTGCACGTTACATAACACCGTGCAAGTGGTCAAAATTATCCGAAGCACTCCACGGCAGCAGCTCATTTTTTCCCGAGTCACTTTGGAACGTTAAATCTCACAAACTAACCGACCCGCATGCATTACCAATATGTGACACGAGTCATTGTAACAATAGTGAACGACACTTAATGCGACTCGTCAAAAAGTATACGCGTCATTGTGACGCGAATTGATTTAGGCGCTACCCCGACAGCATGGAATTAATTTTTGAGAGGGAAAACGACACTTTGCTAACTGACTTCGAAGTCAAAAGAAGATGATATACGAGCAAGCGGTCGTAGAAGTATGACCGACAATCATGTTCCAGAGTAAACAAGCTCTCCCATTAAAATATAACAATAACTATCGGATACTTTTTCTTATGTTTTTTTTTCACAGTCGTGACAGTTGACGTGCTATTAGCAATACCCAGGTAAGGTAGGTAATTACCTCTGCTAGCATAGAAATGACCACAGCATTTTATCTCTGAAAAGGTACATGCAAAGGTATACGAACCTCGAAAGTCGTGCCCAAGGACGTATGGGCGGCCATATACATGGGTGTATTTTTCATTTGAGTTATGTTAATAAATGTGAGAAGGGTTTATTATCGCTAGCACAGACACTGCAGTTTTGTAAATAGAATGGTATGCTACCGTCCGTCTACCCAGTTACGATTTCCATAACATAAAGGACCACTTTTGATGATTAGTCGGGCTGAAAAAGCAAAAATTTAAAAAAAATCATAAAGTTGAGCTTAAAATTGCGTGAATATTTACAATAGTTCACACAATGCTTTTCGATATGACAATCGTGTTTGAATACGGATGTAGTGGTCTGTTTGATGCGAAAGCAAAAAAACAAATTAATGAGTAGAGCGTTCGTAACCCACTAAATTCCTGACCGATCCCCCATGACAGGCATGAACCACTCTGTAGGCAAGCCATGCAACTCCCCATATACTCCGACATATACTCTTCTTTTTTTTAAGTAGTACTTATACAATAAAGATTCCACATTCGGATTGCTGAAAGAGTGGCACACAATCGCAGTGCAGTATGACGCCCCGTGTCATCTTTCAAGGTGCTAAAACGCAGATACCCACTCACTCATTCCCCACGTCTCGGCGCAGGCAGTGCCGCTCGTCGCTGATGCTTTCAGTGCCTCACGTATCGCTCATATCGATCTTTCGCCTCCCCCTTCCAAGGTTTGGCGAGCCGAGACTATTCGTTTCACGAATCAGCCACGTCAATAACAAAAAAAAACAGAC